CCAAGGCCTCATTTGCATTTCCAACAGAGGTTTCGACCTTCAAAGTAAATTAGGTCTCTACCAAACACTTCAATATTGCGATCCTTTATGGAAAAAATCTTATTTAAATGTTGAATTCATTCTATTTCGTTCAAGTTGACAAAGGTTGTTGAATTTTTACTACAATGATATGAAGTAGACTGCAGTTTTGACCTCGCCTTGGTCTCATCCACACCCCTAGCGGAACTCGAACCGTGATGGTGTAGCGGATGATCTCGACACGTTATCCATTACGCCAAACTGCCTCAAATGCCCTTGGAAAACATAGGGCAGATGTGAATTTCAAAGCTCTACTAGTAGTCTAGAATATCTACTGATAAACGAAAAAAAGTAATAAAGTCTATTGCTATAGAAAATACAAAGTTGCTCCGTCGACGATCCCCTCACAGAATGTGATCTATGAAAATGCCTGGCCTTCCTTGAACTTCACATCTACTCTGTGAGCCAAGGGCCTTCGCGGCAGATTGGCATAGTGGATAGCGTGTCGAGATTATACGCTACACTATTACGGTTCGATTCCCGTCGGGTGAGAGATGAGAGCATGGCGAGGTCAAAACGGCAGTCAGTTGAGATGAGAATATCTCTTGCGAAGCAGGACTAGGTAAAATTCAATGAAAGAGCATAGATGTGGGGAAATTCAACTACCTTCGTTAGATTAAATGACATAGAGTGAATAGATAGCAGAAATAGGAGCCACTGGTAGTCTATAAAACCTAGTTGTGAACGAAAAATATCCTATCTGCCATTGACATTAGCAAAGTGACCTATAATTGACATGAATAGTTTTAGCAACTTTTTGTAAGTGTTTAATTGAAATTCCGTAGTAATTGCCCGATTTCTCAATCCTGCGAAGCTTTTACAAATATTAGTATGTGGATATCTACTTTCTAGACGCAGGTCAGTGTCTGTTTGTTTCACCAGATGTCAGCAGTCAAAAAGTGGAGATTGCACTTCAGCTCCCATTTTTTACTGTTAGTCCACCATATTCTCATAAACAAAGAAGTGGATTTTAGCACCAAAATGTCAAGAAATTGCATCAAAAGGCCTCTACGAGACTGTCAACTCACAGTAATCTGTGAGATATTGCCAATTCCCAGAACCACCACAGTTAACTAATAGACGCCAGTATACACAAACCGAAAGCGGAGAGGCATGACAGAAGGAAAGAGGGATAAATGTTAAAATTTTGTTTATAACTGATTCGACACATTCTATACTTAGCCTCAATAGTGTCCGGAGACTTTATGAATCAAAAAAATGTAATTAAATTCTTAGATGCTTAATAGAATTTCACCTAGCCTAGCCTCGAAAATCACTTACTTCGAAAGCGTAATTAAGCCTTGATCACCTTTGAACAGATGTTTTTGCTCTTTTATGATTATTCGGTCATTATGGTTTGGTTTGTCCACACGTGCGCAACTACACATGAGCATGCACTCAGAATTGTGTATCAATATAGATAATTATAATAAGGAAATAACCAGGTCTCCATGTTGAAATGCCAGTAATTTTACTTAAGACGCGAGCTCCAAGTTGCCACAAGAATGCATCAGCATCATTGTGATGCCTG